GAAAACCATTCCGAAATTTGGTGCATTTGAGCGTGCGGTAAGCGATCCAATAGGTGATTACGAAGCGTTTTCGCGTGCGATATGGTTTTTTGAAGAAAAGTTGAGTTAATTTCGCTCGACAATGTTTCAAACCCCCGGAAAACATGTCAATTTGGCAGTTTTTCGGGTAATTTCCAGTTGCGTTTTTCATTGCGTTTTTTTACCACTCGAGTTCGACAATTGTTCGCTCTTTGCGGTCGAAATCTTAAAAAAAACTTGCGGGTTCAAATGCAGTTTGGTGCCAGTTCCGCAAAAAATTGTGGAAAATATTCCGAAATTTGGTGCATTTGAGAGTGCGGTAAGCGATCCAATAGGCGATTTAGAAGCGTTTTCGGGTGCGATATGGTTTTTTGAAGAAAAGTTGAGTTAATTTCGCTCGACAATGTTTCAAACCCCCGGAAAATAGGTCAATCTGGCAGTTTTTCGGGTAATTTCCAGTTGCGTTTTTCCTTGCGTTTTTTTTCACCGCTCGAGTTCTACAGTTTTTGCGGTACTAAAGGAAGTTGAGTATGTTTCGCTTGAAACTGTTTAAAACCGCCGAGAAACACGCCAATTGGCCAGTTTTTAGGGCAATTTCCAGTTGCGTTTTTCCTTGCGTTTTTTTCACCGCTCGAGTTCTACAGTTTGTAAAGTTGAGTTTATTTTGCTTAAAACTGTTTAAAACAGCCGGAAACACGTCAATTTGACAGTTTTTAGGGCAATTTCCAGTTGCGTTTTTTTACCGCTCGAGTTCGACAATTGTTCGCTCTTTGCGGTCGAAATCTTAAAAAAACTTGCGAGTTCAAATACGGTTTGGTGCAAATTCTGCAAAAAATTGTGAAAACTATTCCGAAATTTAGCGAAATTTGCATTTGAGCGTGCGGTAAGCGATCCAATAGGCGATTTAGAAGCGTTTTCGGGTGCGATATGGTTTTTTGAGGGAAAGTTGAGTTAATCTCGCTCGACAATGTTTCAAACCCCCGGAAAATAGGTCAATCTGGCAGCGTTTCGGGTAATTTCTAGTTGCGTTTTTCCTTGCGTTTTTTTCACCG